TCTTAGAATGGGCCCAAAAATCGCCTACTCGAATATCGACATTCAATTATGAAACACCCTGTATATAAGCTCTATCACCCATCTAAAATAGTAAGAAATTGCCAAATGAATATAGCCGAAAATACATAAGCAAGATAAGAAACCTAAAGTAGGAATTTGAGACGGCTACCTACTATCTAGTGTTTCTTTTTCTCATGTTCACAATACTCAAAGCCAGCGTTAGTAGCTAAATCATTACTGAATCCAATTAACTTTTCTATGTGAATACAGTGATTGTGAACTGAATATTTTTCAAGAATTTCATGCTATTTGCCCGCGCCTCAACTTAGGTAACAGCGAGATGACCAGACAAAAAAATGCACCCATTATAATACATGATGCATATTTAATTTAGTCACAGTTGATGGATCTAAACATGACGTTTGGATTGTATATTCAGTTTTATTCATTAGTGATTTCCGGATACGGATATGGTTCATGAAAGAGATCAGTCTCATCCTCATGTAGAGTATTGGTATCAGGATGTGATAGTCGATGACCACCTAATAAATAATTTGCATTCATTTTGTAAATCACTGAATATTTCTGGTAATGCTCCTATATCCGTATACTCCTGTTATGCCGTTTTCAACTGAACGGGCATCATGTACTTGGTGTTCATCAATATATCCTTGTTGAAAAGATTCAATACGAAACAAGTTTGAGCTAGTACGATGATTGGAAAAAGAACTTAATGACGTTTTTGGATGTATGAAAAATTGATATTCCTCATACAGGACGTGGAAAGAAATTCTGAATTGAGAAAATCTAATCACGAATCTGCGATTGAGGTCCATACAAATATCCTTCCTTAACCTGAAGTCCAGTTATTTCTTCAGCCATTCTTTATGATACACTGATGAGGGTTTGATATCCGAAAGGAGTTTATTCGAGTGAAGTCATATAACCTGTTCATATCACTGATTAGAATGATTATTTTGGAAGTTCCAAGCTCTTCACAATCAGAGTTTATACAAGTATACTTTTCATTATCATTTCAATTTTCATTTCAATACTGAACATATTGGTAAAGTATATTTTCCATATTATATTACATCATATCATTTCATCCGATTTGAGAGATGATGTTAATTCTCAATTTCAGAGCATCTTTAATTTTCATGCTCTCTTTTTTGATGTTCAACAGATATAATTAATACTGTCTGTACGTTGATCGAGGAGGTGGTATGTACATTAATTATTTCAAATTTTTTGGGATTTCGTTTCTATTAAAGAAAGATATGAATATTATTTCAATATACGTGTAGAAAGGACAAATCAGTTGATTTGCTCCAAAATGTCACTGCGTTCGAAGAATTTCCCTATCAGAGAGCTTGAAAGAAAAATTCACTAGCTTGTCAGTGACAATTTGTATCGAAAAAAGTTTGGAGATGAGAAATAAAGGTATATAGAAGAAAAAATATCAGATTTTCAGTTATCTTTGGACGTTTCGCGACCGAATAAGCTCCCGTTTTCAACATGAAAATTGGTTATTTGAATAACAAAGTCATATCTGTCTTGGAACTGTTCAGTACTCAGTGACAATTGGTGACGTTGGCAATCAAATGAGTTACAGGATGTTTTCATTGATTAATCTTGAATTTATCATTTCCATGTTCAGATTCCAGTAGTGAATACCATGTTCTGTCTATATCAACTGAACAAGAAGCAATGCTATTGTCTCCGTTCAGAAGAATGCAAGCAGAATCCTTGATTTTCCTCTTCTGGTTGTTATCTTCTTTTCCAATGATTTTAATATTATTCCACTCTGCCATATGTTGTCCGTCTTCAGTAAGGATATGTTCAGCTAGTTTCGATTTGTCGATGTGTCTTTTCTTTATATTGTACTTATGTTCCTTCGTCCTTACTGAAAGAGGTCTCTTGGTTTCACCTGTATAAAACTTTCTACAAACACGAGGTATACTGTAAATACAATTTCTGTTACGATTGTTCTTCATTTTTCGGCTTCGTCTGAGTTAGAATTGATCTCATTGTATTTTCAGTTCTGAACACAGTTTTCACTTGAAATTTATCACCAACACGTTTTATTGTTTCAGATATCAATAACGAAGTCCACCACATTGAAAATATGGAGAACATTCCTATCTAAAAAATTTTGTCGATAGGACTATTCATCAAATTGAAAACAAACAGGGTCAACCACAACAAAATCAACCATCGATAACGACAAATATAATACCATACATTCCCAGGATATCTGTAGAAATAAAACGTGTGGGTGATAAATTCTAAGTGAAAACTGTGTTCAAAACTGAAAATACAATGAGATCAATTCTAACTCAAACAAAGCCGAAAAATGAAGAACAATCGTCAAAGAATTGTATTTACAGTATACCTCATGTTTGTGGAAAGTTTTATACAGATGAAACCAAGAGACCCCTTTCAGTGATGACGAAGGAACCTAAGTACAATAAATAGAAAAGACACATCGATAAATCGAAACCAGCTGAACATATCCTTACTGAAGACGGACAACATATGACAGACTGGAATAATATTAAAATCATTGAAAAAGAAGATAAGAACCAGAAGAGAAAAATCAAGAAATCCGCTAGTATTCTTCTGAACGGAGACAATAGCATTGCTTCTTGTTCGGATATAGACAGAAAATGGTATTCACTACTGGAATCTAAGAATGAAAATGGTGAATTCGAGATTAATTAATGAGAACACCCTGTACTCCTTGATTGCCAACGTCACCAATTGTCACTGAGAACTGAAAAGTTTCAAGACAGATACGAATTTGCTATTGAAATTACCATTTTTTATGTTGAAAATGGGAGCAGATTCGGTCCCGAAACGACCTTTCTCAATACAAATTGTCACTGACAAGCTAGTGAATTTTTCTTTTAGGCTCTCTGATAGGAAAATTCTTCAAACGCAGTGACATTTTGGGGCAAATCATCTGATTTGTCCTTACTACACGTATATTGAAATAACATTCATATTTTTATTTAATAGAAACGAGGAGAGAAAATCCCAAAAAATTTGGAATAATAAATGTACAACCTCCTCGATCAACCTACAGACAGTATCTGATAAATATACTTCGTCTTTTCGAGTCATTCGGCTCTTCCTACGATATCTCAAGAATTGGTCCTGAAGTTCCACATTGGGAGTATAAAAACGTTAGTTCGCTCAAGTCTTCCCATAACTTGAACTACATTTTGTCGATTAATTCATTCACACCCGCCTGGACCTATAAAATGTCATGAATGAAGTCACAGATATGCGATATCAGCGGCTATTCAGGTAAACAAACAATATGAGCGGCTTTTCTGTTCGCCAGCATAAGAGTGCTATGGTTGTCAAACTTTGACATATCTATCAATCACTTAAAAATTGAAATGTACAGTTTTGGGTCAACTTTCACTACGGAAATTCGTAATTATGTAAGCGAATCGATATCAGAAAATAACAAGGAGAGTAAAGAGTCTGTTTGGAACAATTCCTGTTTTTTGCCAGCAGAAAAATTATGAATTTTGTGCGACTACCTCCATGGTAACAGACCACCCCATCTCTCGTGATTGCACAAATCCTGAAAGATTGGACGGGGAGAATGGTGAGGAATATTAAGAATACACAGTTGAAATTGATATGGAAAAATATATACAGGAAGATTACTTCAATGAACATAAACGTAAGACAAATCCATTTGAATATATCGAATTCAAAGGTGACAGGGTTGCGCTAGAGTCCCTGTATATACCTTAGATAAGAGTCCAGACACAGCTATACTTCTGTCCTTTTCTGTTTTCAAAAAATGCATTGATGATTGAATAAAGGAATAAGACATATATATCGAGCTCTGTCTTATCAATTCCTCTAGTATCAATGATTGTCAGAAACAATTTTGAGGGTTAGATTATTTGTCAAACCGTTCATAGCCGTAGGTAGAAGTGGGAAATAGGGCTATTTTAACTATAATAACTATTGAATAATAATAATATCTTGAATCCCTTTTCTATCGAATTGTCGCAATAATGTACGCAGCAGGAAATTGAAATAATTTAAAATGCTAAATTTTAGCGGTCATAGAATTTCAAAGTGACAGTGACAGAAATTCGAAATAATTAAAAAAAGCGGGCGGGACGACTATGGTGTTTCGTCACATTGTCAGGTGGACAAACCAAATGAAACAAAATATTGAAAACCCCAACAGCTGTCAGTTTTGTGTCCGGACTCTTGGTTGCGCATAATGCAAAAAGGCGAAGCCTGCAATATTTTACTCAAACAAGAAAGGAAAGCACAGAAGCTCCAATCAAAGAATATTAACGCTATCAATAGCGGTAATATTCTTTCTTTGCTCTAACTTTAGATGAATTGATTACAATTGTACGTAGATATGATGAGAATACCCCAGACAGAATATCAGAAGAATTTCTATTCGAATAGTAAATAGTATCTGCAGCATTGTAACTTGACTAAAATTTTGAAACTCATATAAACCCAGTATTTTTACACTGTTCATGAAATAATCTTCCTGAATATCACTCGACCATGACAAATGGCGACTATTATTTTCTTCAATTCATCTCAAGTAACTGATATTTTGGGACAATTCAATTCGACCATATGAACATAAATAATCAAAGAATAACTCCCGAGAGCTTTAGCTCGAGGGCAGATTATCAATGTCCATATGGTCTGGAATTATGAAGAAAATAATAGTCGGCTATTTGTCATGGTCTCGAGATATTACCCACGAATATTTCCGATTGAACAGGCCACAGCCTTTATTGACTGAAAATATTAGCCCTCATTTCTACACCAGAGAACTACAAAAAACGCGACTACTGTTTCTACTCTCACAACCCGTCAGGTGGTTCCTGAGTCATCTTCCGTTGGAGGCGGCGAGTACCAAAATGGGACAGTACCACGCTCCACCTCCGCATCGGAAGCTGCGTCTGGTCCGGTCGTACCGGTACCACTCGCGACCCAGTCACAGTGGTTTATGTGCAAGGTGACAGGTGCATTTTCGCGGTACTGCTCGCGGTACTGTCTCGTCGTTGACAATCGGATGAGTGATAAACGTGATTATTTGCTGGAAGCGTCACGAGGTGTCGCAGTTCGGGTATACAGAGTGACCAAGGATAAGGTTGCACAATGAACAGCATGACCATGTCAAACACGGTAGGAGATACGGGTTCCGTTGAATGGGAGGAAAGCTAAGCATACAGAGGGTCATTTAATTAGCTTCCAAGAGCTCTCTATAAAGAGTTCATACCGAAGAATGTTCATTTTTGCTGTGACGAAAAAATGTTAGAATTCATATCCCTATTGGCAGGTTCCAAAATGTCACTCTTCATAGATTTTTTTTTTCATGAGAAAAAAGTGAGTACCTTTTTCCCGCATATATGCACTGTGCACTGTTAATGGCTTTTGAAGTGTCAATTCCGAAAAAATAAGCCAATAACTCCGTTTCCAAAGAAAAACTGAAAGTCCTCCTATCTTCCATTTCATCACTTCACGGTGTCGTAAATTAATAAACTGCCATTTAGTTCGCGATGTTTTAGAATCAGAATAATTAGAATGACAGATATTCGATTACTTAAAAGGATGATCAAGATGGTTTGCAACGCAGGTATAACTCCTGTCATCTATCATTGTTCTCCATTCCATGAACATTTGTGGAAATTACTTTGAGTTTTGTATTTACTGTAAATCTTGCTGTAAATACCTACTTGTTCATAGCAACTTCAGATGAGATTTAACGTGGTGATATTGACTTCTCTATACAACGTTTCGTATTCATAGAACCACTTCAACTTATTTTCTCCTGATAATATAATCACAGATTCTGAAAGTTTTTTTCATCATGAATACAACCATGTAGTGAAGAAAGAAGTATGAATATGATCCGACATAGATTTAGTATTATCAGATTTACTTAATTTTGAAGATTCAGTATCAAATATTGATGGAATAGTCATTTAACGAGAAATACAAGTACCTCAATAACTGAATTTCGACTACACGATAACTAATTGAAAAAAAAACAATAACATTCAGATGTTCAAAATGATAACCATAATTTTCTGAACCAAGATCTACAGTTGCTTCTAAGTGATTTCTGAATTCCTGAATTTCCTCTCGTAAACACTGATACATTACTCCACTTCCTGATCGATTTGATGAATCAAATTATGCCATAATTTTGATTGGAAATACTATTGAAATCACGAAGATAAAATTTTTTTGGTTCAGTGAGTGATTAAGTCATATACGCCATTAGAAAATATGGAGAAAAAAATTTAGTCGTATTTCCTCAAGGACACTTCTTGTCCTAAAAAAAGCTTTTCTTACTATTTATCTGCAGAAGTCTATCGATTAGAACTAGTTTGGTTATATTCAGAATGAAAGAAGCTTTCAGAATCTATAAAAGCATAACCAGGCCTGTATTGAAAAATAATTAGATGTTGCTTCTATCAAATACGAAATGTCATATTGAGGAATCAAGATCAGTTCATGAGATCACATCAGAAAAATTGAAATCAATAGGCATTCAGGAAAGAATCACTTGTATCAGTATTCGTTTAAATATACGAGTCGATGCATCGATTTCGGAAAGATGTAATTCGATGTAATTCAATGTTCTGCGTGGCATTATCCAGAAAAGTAGTTGTTTTTCAACCGGAATCTACCATTCTTGTTCGTTTCATGAACTTTGTTTTGAAATGACTCCAAGCTATTTGTATTAAGTTAACATTTCATTTCACTTTTTGCATTGTGGCTATTTCGTAGTTCAAAACATTATAGGGATTCCCTTTCGTGCGCCGCGAGAGATAAAAAAACGAAGAAAAATGAAATTTATGAATCATTTGGAAATATTCCGCAGGCTATTAGAATGACCATTTTGAATGCTTAACTTTTTTCCCATTCAACTGAATTCGTATCTCTTGTCGTTCATGAAATCCCCATGCTGTGCAACCTTTTCTTTGTCACAATGTATACAGCGTGTTTCGCAGTCGAGTAGTTCCGTTGGGTTTAGTCAGATGAGATAAATATGGTCATAGTTTAAGCTTCGAAAACTTTGATATTCTTCAGATGAACCGATGTTCTGTTTTCCTTTGTGAAAATGAAATACAGTATTCGAGACAAGAATGCGCCACAAAAATTTCTGAATTGACTATTGCGAAAATTAGACAGTTTGTATGATGAACTTTGTATAGCTCAAAAAATTAATGCTGAGGTGAACTCTACAATATTATTATATTGAATGGGGGTTACTATAAGCTGTGTGCACGTGTAGATATACGAATAATTGTACAGAATGTTGTATTTTGTGCAAAATGATTCATTCAAATGTTTTGTAGCATAGCGCTTTCGACTATACAGTCATCATCAGTGCCTACTCTTCAGGTTAACAAGAACATTATCCATAACAATATTTGGTCATGTTTATTATTATCGATATTATGGCTGAATACGTTACAATAGTACATTATACATCAAGGGACAAAAATGCAAGATTTTTTTCCAAGGTCCGAGCTCGAGGGCGAAGCCCGAGAGATACAAAGCACCAAGGAAAAAATAGCATTCTGTCCTGAGGTGTATACAGGGTGTTTCATTACTAATTGGAAATATTTCAACCATGAAATCCCGAACTCAAAATATGAAGATTTAATCCAAATCACCTAGATAAAATCTGTCTCCTGTCTGAGTTACACGGTGTTTTATTCAAAGATTTTGAAATGTTTTTTGCCCAGTTCTTCAAAACTATTCGACGTATCACTTTCATATTCGGAAGGAAGTGTACACATCCAATTGAATTATATAAAATTAACTTTTCTAGCTATTACCAGAGGCGTACGACAGGGGCAAGTGACTGGTTGATCCTTCCCAAATTCTACGCCACTGGCGGAATTGCAATTTAATCAGAATTTTTCAATTCTTCAATACCTTCTTCGTAAATATTGTACTCCTTCTTCATAGCGATGAAGTCATTATTTTTCGAGATATTTCAAGTTAAACATAAAGCAGCACAATTATTTTGATTTCAATGTGTATCAATAATGTCGATATTTTAGATCAATGGACTGCATTCATCAATCAAATGCAACTTCAATCCATATTAACCTAAAAGCATAACAGACAAGAGCTGTTACAGGGCGTTTGAAATTTTTTAATATATTATACATAATTAAACACCCTGTAACAGCTCCTGTCTTTTATGTAATTATGTGTTCATTGTTTATATAAATTGCAGTTTCATTTTATTCATGAATACAATTCATTGATCCCAAATATTGACACAATTAATGCACATTGAAATCAAAATGATTGTGCAGACTTATGTTTAACTTGAAATATCTCGGAAAATAATGACTTCATCGCCATGGAGAAAAAGTACAATATCTACGTCAAAATTGTTGGAGAACCGAAAATTTGTGATAGAATCGCAATTCCGCCAATGGCGTAGAATTTGGGAAAGATCAACCAGTCACTTGCCCCTGTCGTACGCCTCTGGTAATAGCTAGAGAAGGTAATTTCACATAATTCAGTTGTATGTATGATACCTATTCTCCCCTCCAAATATGAAAGTGATACGTCAAATTGTTTTGAAGAACTGGGCAAAAAACATTTCAAAATTTTTGACTAAAACACCCTGTAACTCAGACAGGAGACATATTTTATCGAGATGATTTGGGTTGAATCTTCATATTTTGAGTTCGGGATTTCATGATTGAAATATTTCCAATTAGTAATGAAACACCCTATACACTATTTTTCACGCTGGCGAAAACACAAAAATTAAGAAATTCAAAGTGTTTTGTCATAATTAGTAGTAGTATAGTTTGTGGAATTCCTATCTTGACATCATGCTTCTTTTTGACAACTCATGTTGACAGTAAATATCAAACTGAAATTCATGGAATCAGCTTTGGAAATGATTAACGGTTATGGAAAAAGAAATCGAGGGAAAACCCCAGAGTTAGATATAGAAATCAGTATGATGCAGCTTATACTCGCTTCAGAGAAGGGTGTTCCGAAAAGAAAGCGCAAAGCTATGCGGAAAATGTGAAGTTGGTATAAACCCCCTAGGAAGAAAATATGTAGTACGAATAGTACGAGACTTCTGCCCCTCATTTGTCACCAGAGAAACTAAAGTTTAACCCGCCGGCGTGAAAACAGATTAAAATTCGTTTTCCAAAATGTGATAATATGCTGATTACATTATCTTAAGCAGCTGCCAGGGGCGTCCGGAGGGGGAGGTAAGGGATGAAGCTCGCCCCCCCCCCCTAGCGCCTGGTCTTTACTCATCAGATACTTTCTAAACAAGATACATTTGCATTATTCGATTCCTATTCTGATTAGCGCTCATTATAGTGACTTTCTGAGACTTTGTTTAATTAGTATTCATCGACAATTTATAGTATAATATAATATATAAAGTTATTGATAAATTTGCTCAAGACTCTATAAGAATGCCTTTTTTTTAAACAAGATTATGATTTTCATCACGTGCAATTTTTTATTGTAATTTTGGCTGTAAATAGAATACCTATGTGATGTCAATTCAATCACTATTTTTTTTTTATTCCGTGTTTTATGTAGAATAATAGTAGATTATAGAGAGTAAAGTGCATGATTTTTCCAGAGCTGGTTTTGTAGCCAGAGGCTACAATGCACCGAGGGAAGAAAGAACTCACTTCCGAGGTTTATCTACCATTTTTGCACGACTCGACGATTTTAATTGCAAGAATGTTATGATAAAATCAATTATTGTCAATACTATAATGAAAATCTGAACAAAATAATCCCAAAATAAAGTTTTATTATCATGATCACCGATAAAGAAGAGTAGCCATATTGCTTTTTTTGAACATCGAAAAATTGTGGTAGCATATTTTCTTAATTGCTTTCCAAAGTTTTTTCAATAAATATTGCAGGAATTTGTGGAAAAACTATTGAAGAAGCTGCTGCAAACATAGTATAGATTTATTGCCAGAAAAATCCCGGAAAATTTTTCAGCTTAGAGAGTGCCTACTCTGTATACCCTGTATTCCCGCTTTCGTCGGTGCAAAATCGC